TTGAAGATTTTTTTAAGTGTGTTAGTTATTCTTAGGAATATTTGTAGCGACTAGAGAGAATATTTTTATAAGCCACAAAGACTTTTTCTCTCAAAAATAATTTTTTGGGAAATTGCCTTAAAAGGAAAAGGTCAATTGTTGCTCTTTAACCTTCAGCTTACCTAAATGAAAAGATAAATGAAAAAGATTTTGGCTTAATTATTTTTGGTAACAAATAATCAATTATTTGTAAAAGATTCACATATCTTTTATTTTCGGAAATTACCTTAAGAAGAAAAGTCAAAATCTTGCTTTTATATTTTAACTTACCTAAATGAAAAAGATTCTGTCTTAAATATTTTTTGCAACAAATAATTGAGCATTTACCAAAGATTTGTATATCGTTTTATTTTCGGAAAGTCTAACTACTCTTTAAAGCTAAAGATCAACATTTTCTAAAAACATTATCTTCACCTCTCTTATGAAAGACGTTTTTTTTCCTTTGAAGCTCTCTCTTCAAACCCCCTTATTTCTTTTCGTCTATTTGCTTTCAGAAATATTTTTCAATAGAAAAGAAAATTTAATAACAACATTTTCTGAAGAACAGTTCTGAACTTTAAATCTGTTTTCTGTTCTTCCTGTGCTTATAATTGCGTTTCTCTCTATCTATATAGATGTTGTAATCTCTTGTGGACTATAGGTTTTTCAAATGAAAAACTTTTGTGTAATAGCTTAGGTGAAAAGTTAGGGTATAATAGGTTATCAAGTGACCTTTTTCTTGTGTGAGATTCTAAAGTCTTGATGTGAGTTTCTGTTCTCTGCAAAAACAGAAAGGGTTGAGGTTGACTAGAACCTTTGGAAAATCTAGTGGGACAAAGGTTATATCTAGGTGTTGATCTATTTTCTTGGTTTGTCTCTTACCCTTGAAAAGAGGGTGTTGCAGGCTTGGACTAAGAACCTTTTGGAAAATCTTATTGAGGTTGACTAGAACCTTTGGAAAATCTAGTGGGACAAAGGTTATATCTAGGTGTTGATCTATTTTCTTGGTTTGTCTCTTACCCTTGAAAAGAGATAACATAGTGGAGGATCTCAAGATGATTATTAGGGAGTGGATGTAGGCGAGTTAGTGCCGAATTCTTGAAATAATGGTCATGCACTACCAAGATAAACCCATTCTCTCTACTCCATAAATTAAGAGTAAAAGATATGTCATACTCATTGCTTTAAGGGCACTAAAGTAATCTTACTACTAACATTTTTATTATCAAATTTGGTAAGGAGTCACACAAACATATATGCACAACCTCCAATAATAATCTATACTATATATAAATGTGGGAATAGAGGGAGAGGGAGGAATAATGAAATTTTCGATAGCGCCTTTGATGAAATTTAGAATATCCCAAAATAACCTTAGTCATAGCTAATTAGAAAACTACATTTTATTATTTGAGTGGATATATATAAAAGTTATTTTTAAATAAATAGATATAGATAATTAAAAGTTATTTTTAAATAAATAGATATAGATAATTAAGAATTTCAAAATTTTAAATTTTATCTTTTTAAATTTATTTAATAAATAAATATGATAATGAGAGATTTAAAAATTTTTTATTTTATTTTTTAAATATTTAATTTTATTTTAATTATAATTTAAAATATTTTATTTAGAAGGGGATAAAAAAAGAAAAAAGTATATGCTCTTTATTAATATTCTTTTTTTTTCTTTATGTCTGTATGATTTGATTGGATATAGTTTTTTAAAAATAAATTTTACTTAGGATAGAGATAATACATGATATATTATTTAGGAGAGAGATAAAAAAGAAAAAATATATTATTTTTTCTTATATGATTTATTTTAAATTTGCAACTTAGAATAATAGAAAAACAAAATACTTGAATAAACTCATTAACTAACAAATATTGGATCCTAGCATGATTTGCTTTGTAAACAACTAAACAAATATTGATCTTAGCATTGATTTGCTTTTGTTAATTTCCCATTTATTGACTTTCGGCTTTATTTCTTTTTTTTTTTTTTTCTATTTTGCTTTGTAATTTCCATTTATTGACTTGGCTTTATTCTTTTTTTTTTTTTTCTATCCATCAACGTCAAATTTCATTAAAGTATGACATTTCCAAGTGAAGAATGGATCGACTTTTGAAATTCAAATTGATAATTTTTTAATATAATTTGTTTCTGGTTATATATTAACTTTTGAAAAAAATTTTATTGTTAATAATAATTTTTTATATTTTATTTTCTTTTTCATTACTAAATTAATTTGTAACCACTATCACTTTAATTTACTTAGAGATTTATATCTCTCTTACAATAAATAGATGGCTAAATTTGTTTGACTTAAAAGAAAATAAATAGTGTTTATGAAACTAAAAAAAAAAAAAAAATAGAACTATATATTTATGTTTTGGGTCACTTTTGATTTTCAAGAATTTGTGTATGTTCATTTATTTTTTCTCTAATGCATTGGGTTAGTAAAACTGTCACTGTAGCTAAAATGATTACCATTATCAATTCAAATCATCTTCTCACTTCTTTTCTTTTTACTTAGTAGTAATAAATAATTTATTATTATTTTTCATTATAGTTTTAGATATTGATTTGAAGTTGAGAGCAGAGGTTGGAGATTGAGTGATGTCTTGATTTTTGTTTTGGGCATTTATTAGGATTTTAAGAATCTGCATTTATAAATTAGAGACTGAATGATTAAGTTTAAGGATTGAGTTGAAATTTATCTTGAGATCATTTCATTATATAAAAATAGAATTAAATACATAAGAAATAGAATTAAAGTAGTTTGTAAAACGAAATCTAATATAAATTAACCAATTATTCTTATTTTAATCTAAACAAAAACTTTAGCTAGATAAAAAAATTAAAAGAGTAAAAAAATTAAAATTAAAGAGTAAAAAAAATTTAGTTTCTGTTAAAAAACGAAGTCTAATATAAATTAACCAATTATTCTTATTTTAATCTAAACAAAAACTTTAGCTAGATCAAAAAAATTAAAAGAGGTAAACAAAATTGATTCTATAACAAGCAGTCGTAAAAAATTGACTAATGATTAATTACAATACTGGCGCCCAAAATCTGCGCTAGCTAAACATAGCACATTTAATAAATGCATTCTACTGTTTGAAAATTGTGTTTTGGCATTCCCTTTAAAGAATCAAAAATAAGTTAAATGTTTAGTTTTTTAGACGCATCGGATGGGGGCCAACCCTAGTCTAGTAATAATACATTTAAAACAATATTACATGTATTCCTCTGGAGTTTTAGCCAGAACAATGCAAGAGTATATAGTGATCATTTTTTAAAATTCAAATCAATCATCTCCATTTTTTTGGCCGGCTTCATCAACTTAAGAGTAAAAAAACATTAAGTGTAATGCCGATAAGTTGATTTGTTTTAAGAAGATAAAAAAATTAAAAGAGTAAAAAAATTTAGTTTGTAAAACGAAATCTAATATAAATTAACCAATTATTCTTATTTTAATCTAAACAAAAACTTTAGCTAGATAAAAAAATTAAAAGAGTAAAAAAATTTAGTTTGTAAAACGAAATCTAATATAAATTAACCAATTATTCTTATTTTAATCTAAACAAAAACTTTAGCTAGATAAAAAAATTAAAAGAGTAAAAAAATTGAATATAACAAGCATCATAAAATTGACTAATATAATTAAATACTGGCGCCCAAAATTGCAGTAACATAGCACATTTATAAATGCATTCTACTGTTTGAAAATTGTGTTGGCATTCCCTTTAAAAGAATCAAATAATAAATGTTTAGTTTTTTTAGACCATCGGATGGGGCTAGATAAATTAAAAATATTCATGATTCCTTGGAGTTTTAGCCAAACAATGCAAGAGATATAGTGATATTTTTAAAATTCAAATCAATCATCTCATTTTTTTGGGCTTCATCAACTAAGAGTAAAAACATAATGTAATGCCGATAGTTGATTGTTTTAAGAGCATTAAAGTAATCTTAGTCCTAACATTTTTACTATCCAATTTGGTAAGGAGGCGCACGCTTGTTAAGGGACAAATATGCACAACCTCCAATAATAATATAATTAAATAAAGGCACCCAAAATTACAGTAACATAGCATATTTTTAAATATATATTTTATTTTTTGAAAATTGTGTTGGTATTCCCTTTGAAACAATAATAATAAATTTTTAATTTTTTAAAGCAATGAATATGGTTAAATAAACTAAAAATATTAATTATTCATTGGATTTTTAATGAAACTATACAAAAGATATAATGATACTTTTAAAATGAAAGTCAATTATCTTATTCTCTCTCCTTCATAAATTAAGAGTAAAAAGATAATGTCATACTCATAGCTCTAATGGTAACAAAGAAATCTTGCTCCTAGTGAGTCAGACTCATAATGAGCTAAAATCATTTTCCTTAATAGAAGGGCAGTGATTTTATGCTCAACCTGAGCCTGGCGCATTGCACTTGGTTTAACAATTATAACCTTCAACTAATTTGAAGGGAAATGTACTTGCTAATTATAATCTTGAGCCAGTTGGAAGGGCATTAAGATTACCTGGCATCGAGCGACCGTAAATTATATTATTATATTGCTCATAATAGTTGAGGAATTTTTTAAGTGACGAATTAAAATCCATGGAGGATCAAGAAATAGGGTCTACAGCTTAGGAACCTTCTTGAGAATTGAATTAATGGAATCCACACGTTAAAATCCTTAAAGTAGGAACTTCACTTTATTGATTTAGTACGCACTCTATACTGAGATATTTTTTAAGTAAGATCTTAAATACCTTCGGATGCTAGGTTTGGGAGGCATAACGGCCGTGACAACAATAACAGCCCGGTAGTTATTCACTTCTACATGTTTTTGTTGCACATTTCCAAAATTTTTTCCTTCTGATTGGAAAGAGAATGTTAAAATTTTTAATAATTTGTTACAGTAATAAATACTTACGTAATATGAGCATAATCTAGATAACATAATTCAATTTAATTTTACTACATGAATTTTATAAATAAAATAATTATATTACCACCCATGACTGGTAACATAAAGAGTGAGACTGTACAATATATTATATACTCTCATCATTAAACACTGTGCTCTCAGTCTCAAGAACAAAGAAGCAATTGGCGAGAAACTATACACTATATTTTATCAATTTCTTCTGTCCACTGCAGAAAAAACTGCTATACACCAGCGAATGGAATGAACATATACTCGGTAGAATATCTAGTATGACAAGCAGGCAATATGGTATCTCTCTAGGAGTTAATGATAATTAATACCTACTGGCGAAATATGGTCAATAATATCAGCATAAGTGCTTGAGAAATCTTGCTTCTGTTTGAAATGCCAATCATGGTCGGAAAATTCTAATCGTTTTTGTGACCTGAAGTCGACAAAATGGACATCTGGAAACAGCAGATGAGCATCTACGACAAAGCACGTGGCCACAGGGAACAATAGTCATATCAACTTCATTGCTCAAACAGACACGACAAATCCATGCTGCTTTTGCAGTATCAGCTTCTTTTGCTGCCACATCAGCCTTCTCCTGCAGATATATACAATAACATTAGCGAAGCTTCAGAAAAATATCATAATCAGATGCAGAGCATACACTTTGACAAGAGAAAATAGTTCCTAGAAGGATAAATATAGCATCTGCTGCTTAATCAAATAGACATGCAGGCACATGCTCATATACCGCTTCTAGTTATACATTGCTTCTGAGTTGGCTATTCAGGTTGTCGCAATTAACAAAAATCCCATAATGCTGGATTTCACTAGTCCTGAGGCACCAAGAGAAGGTTTAAAATTTAGGGCGAATTACTAGTCCCTATATAAAATTACAGTAGCAAGGACTTGTGTTTTTAAAATAAATTTCTGTAGTCCCTAAAGTTGGAGTACATAGATTTATGTCAAAATAGTATTATTGCTCTTACATTAAATTAAAATAAAATATCAATTTTACCCCTTGTAGAGCTACAAATTTTCTTCTATAATCATCAAATCAATACCCCTATTCAGCAAATTATTGATTTTTCATTTTGCCCCTTTCCTCCTGAACTTCTCAATTTTAATTCACAAACAAGCCACTCTCTTTATGTCTATACCTCCCTTGACATGAAAACAACCATTGTGTGGCAATTTGTTTTCTTAAATCTCATCATCATCAAATCGCAAATCGAAAACATTTTCTCTCCCAATGATAAAAATTATTGTATTTGGGACCAAGTTGTTTAAAAGAAAGTGGAAAGAATTGAGCTGGAATGGGGAGAGTTTCTGGACTTTTTGAGCTTTTCTGATCAATCTTCTTGTATTAATCAATGTAGTCAAAAGCACAAAAAGCGCTCGCCTAAACACTGAAGCTCAGAGACAAGTAGAATAAGCACTTTTAAATATCAAAGCAAGGCGTGTTCCACAAAGCGAGGGCCTCACATGAAGCGCAAAGCGAGAAAAGCCCCTGGTAAATTACCTGGTAAATTCTTTATTTTCCTGTGCAATCAGGTTAGAGACAGAGATGTGATTAGGGGAAGACAGGAAATGAAAGGCTTAGTGTTGAAAGGTATTTTGGAATAAAAGATTGATTGTATTCTTTTTTTTTTGACGTTTAATAGAAAACCCCCAAGGCCTAACAAAAGACTAATGGGTTCGGCACACTCACATCCAGAGACTTAGTTTTGAAAACACAACTCTTGACTATTGTGTTTAATTATACTAGAGGGACTACATAGAAATTCACCCTAAAATTTGTATACATGGTATTCAGAAATGCTAAGCCAAGGGAGAAGGCTATAATTTTTATAAACATCGGAGACGTCAATAACAGCTGACTTGGCTTAGAGAAACACTTACATGAAAAAAGAAAACAGAAGAATAAAATAAAATGCATGTGAAGTTGCAATAAAATCAGAATATTTTCTGTAGAAACAATCCTATGGTGAGCTGTAAATTGTTAATGATATTGGATTTGATTATGTCAATATAAGCAAGTATACTAAATAGAAAATTTGCTTCACAAACCTGTTCAAGCAATAGTGTTGCCTGAGATTCTTTCAATTGTTCCTGCAGAGTTATTGTTCTTTGCAGAAGAGATTGTTTCTCCTCATCAATGTTTATCCCTGCTGCAGAAAGCATCTCATGGACTGCCTGCACAAGTTCAGCAGCTGACACTCTGCCATACTGAAGCTCACTACCACCCTGCAGTCAACATTGAAAACGGTGCCCGCAGTTAAACGCTTAATAGAATCCAGCTGCTGCAATTAATGACCGAAAATTTATAAAAAAATTTAAAAAAGAATTTGGCTATATTTTTTTTTAATTAATTGTTAAATTTTTTAATTTCTTAATTAAATATGGTGAGTCAATTTTTTAATTATTCAAAATAAAAATGGAAAAACAATTTTGATTAATTATTCAATTTTCAATTCTGAATTAAATATCATATGAATTGAATGTATAATCAAATATGGAAAGTCAAACATGATTAATTATAAAAACCAAATATGCAATATTCTGACTTCTTAATAAAATATGGAAAGCCAATTTTGATTAATTCTCAAATTCACATTTTTTTTTTTGGGGAGAAAAAGAGTATGTGAAATCAAAACCAAAACCAATTACTAAGTAGAAAGCCTGAACCTGATAAGATTTTGTTTTAGCTTTTGTAGAACTTTCTGGGACCTCAACGGTAGTCCTTTGAACAACTACTGCATGACTATAATCTGGCAGAGCTGCCAAGGAAGCCTCGTTTCCCATAGATATGCTTTTAAATGAAAAGACTTGTGAAGAAAGAAGAGGCTCAACCACTCCAGGTGCAGTTTCCACCTTGAATCTGTAAAGAGCTTGACCAGCTGATGGTTTAACATCCTCTGGAACTCTACCATATTTCAACTTCTGTCTATCCTGAGTCCGCCATGCAATTATTTCTCCCCTATAAAAGGGTCTCAAAGGATGAAGCTGCACTTGAAGAGCATCTGCAGGCTGTATTTCCTTGCCAACTAATTTATTACTTGTAGATTCAAGTTCTTTCTTGTCAGAATGAAGCTTCAGTATATTGAGTATTCCAGTTTCACAGCCTTCTGGACATAAAAATAAGGATCCTATCGGTAGTGGGGCAGGGAAGCCTAAAACCTGGCTTACAACTATTGCAACAACATCAAGAACAGGTATGCAAGCAGGTGGTTCCGCAACCAGAATAGAGGTCTCTGACCGGTTTACAAAGTACAGACTTCGGTGTTTGGATTCTCCCTCCCATTCTGGAATAACAGAATTCTTACTGATGACAGTTATATCTAGATACTTTGGAAGAAACATAAAGCGGGTATGGAGAAATTTAACAAACGTTAAGTTTTCTGCAACAAATTCTAGTAACTTCTGTATGGTTTCTAAAGATAAATCATCAGTAGTGGGAACATAACCAGCTAGGCTATTTACAAGAGTCCATACAGCACTTTGGAATGATCTGCTTGATAGCTTCTCTCTGATGAGTGCCAGTGGGACAGACCCAATACATTCCAGTTTACGTAGATCTTCACCCTCATCAAGTTCCTGAAGAAATAACATATAGCCAATGAACAAAATTTAACACGATTTTTTAGACAATAATTTCATACAAGCTACTTACCTCTACTACAACATCAGATATCTTCCTAATGCCCAGAGCCACACAAATTCTCTCTGGAAGATCTGGATGAACAAACCTTAACCTTGATGTGTCAATGCATTTAACATATCGAGAGCCATACGAATCAATATACACACATGACTTTGCATGAACAAGCCTGCAACCATCATCTGGGACTATGGCATCTGATTTCCAGCTGACCACGCCAGATGCATTTCCCTCAGCAGTTGTATCACAGAGAAAATACAAGATTCCCATCACAGCACGGAGTTCATTTGGATTTAAACGCTGATATCCACAAGCATTTTGGAGATTTAGTAGAATATCCTTTGCAGAATCAGTTGATAGCACGTCCTGAAGTCCCAACTCTTTTAGAATTTTCACAAAAGGAAGATAAGAAATAGGAAGTTCAAATGCAAATGGTGATAGGTTGATTGTCAGCCGAACAAAAAGGGACTTTGCTGTCACCAAGCGTGTTCCATTTGCAGCAGGAAGAAAAGCCACTTGCTGTAGTTCTTTTATATCTGCATAAAACAATAAAAGAAAAAAAAAAAAGGAAAGAAGTACAGCGTTAACAATTTGACTAGCAGTTGCAAACACATAATGGTAATGTTCGGAACTTCAATGTCAAGTTCTATGCATTATAAAAATTCAGATGCAGAAAGAGCAAAGTTAGCTCAATTACTGGAAAAAGACCATTTACAGACCAACAATACGACTACAATGCATTTGGATGCTCTTATTAATGAAAGGTGCAAACTGATAAATAAACCACAGTGGTGTTGCAGAACATCCATTGTGTTATCTTCCACTTCCTAATATTTTTTCTTAATGAAATTATTTTTCTTAATTCTTATAAGATAAATTTCAATAGAAATTTGTACACCAATCAATCAAAATTGTGTGCAAAGGTATACATGAAAAAAACAGTAGGAGATAGATTATAGTCCAACATGAAAATTATTTCCATTTTTTTCTGGTTATGAATGCAGGACTAGGCATTAAGAGAAGAAAAGAAAAAGGAGAGCCACCTGAAGAAGAGAGGGAACCCCAAATACTATCCAGGTATCTCAACACTGTACAAGAAGCTTCATTAACTGTCATTACACCTAATGCAGTGGGCCAGTGAGCAAGTGTATCTTCACCACCACTTCTTCCAATCACCTGACATGTATACTCATTAACTACACGAGCACTTGCAAAACATAATACTCTTGGACACATACAAGTATACTAAAATCTGTTACCTGTAGATGTTTTAGTACTGTAGAAAAAGATGGAGGACTCCTTAGGTGGAGTGCTCCCCAAGAGAATTCGGGAGGAATAACATTTTGTCGGGAAATAATGGGACAAGTGCTCCAAGCCAAAGGCCAATCTTTTAACAAAATAGCCTGACTATATGAAGTAAGCACTCTCCTGCCGCCACCACTGGGAAATCCCAGTTCAGCAGGTACACATGCAATCTTACCGATTACATTACAGAAATTATTACCATAAAGGACAGCAAAGTTTGAAATCACAGCTTCAATAACAGATCCAGCTAATGCCCATATCTCCATAGAAATCTCATCATTGGAGTCCCCCTCAAAATCATCAAAATCCCCCTTGGATTTCATGCACTCAGTTCCAAAAAATTCTACCTTTTTGGCACATTCAAGTATTACATCTGCTTCAGCTGCAGTTCGAAGACCTATTTTCCTTAATATGCGAAGCCAACCATCTATAGTAAATCTTTCTCCAGGAAATTTCTTCCTCTCACCACAGAATACAGATGTTAATAAAGCATCACAGGGATCAAACAGATCCTTGGGCCTTGAGAGATCTGTGGAAAATTCATCTGCATTTCTTACAAATTTAGTTTCCTTTAGAACTTCAAGTATAGAAGAGTCTGTTTGGAGATCTTGCCAATTGGTATAAAGATAAATTAATATATCTTCCTGCTCAAGTTGAGATTTGCCTTCAAATCCAGGCAACCCAAACCTTATCAAAATCTGTGGATCATATAATTCAGGAACCCCAAGGGCTCTTAATAGCAAATATTCGATTGAATCTGTTGAATAGGAAAGGCAATGCTCGTCAAATGGCTTTAGGAATGATTTTGAAGATATCATACACTGATCTTTACCATGCAATCTGCTGTAGGAACCTGTGACCGTTTTATACATAGGCAAAAAACGCAGTACTTCAAGCTCCTCAGTTCCGTATTTAGAGCTATTAGAAAAGAAATCATTAGCAAAAAGATTGAAAAGCTCGTCTCGATCTGAACCTACAAATGATGCAAGTTCAGCAAAGTAGCCAGCACGTTTTGCAGCAACAAGCTTGGAAGCAATAACTTGGCCCAGTGACTGACCAGGTTGAGGGAGGCAATTACATGAGGCAGCACAACCAATGAAAGCAGCATCAAAAATTGGTACATTGCACTGGTTCAGCAGAGAAAACAGCCAAGGATACCTTTTTTTGGTTTGCTCAAAAGCTGAAATATATGACTGAATTTCGGATTCAGGAGAATGGTCCAGGGATAGTCCACTCATATCACTGCCTGTGCCAACCACTTCCAAGACACCATTTCCAGAGGCTGGATCAGTAAAAGGTGGAGGAATGAAGACCAAATTGCGTTCTTTTACACGGCATAAGATGGGTCTACCAAGAAAAACAGGAATTAGGGGCCAATCCGCAAATAGTAAAAGCTCTTCTGATGAACCAGTGAAACATTTCCAGAATAATCTTATCCATTCATGGGAAGGACCACCTTCATTAACAGAAGTAGATGTATTCTCCCATGAAAACCATGGGGCCATGTTTGAACTCATAACATGGTTCACCCAATTCTCGTGAAAAAGTGATCTCATGTGACTAGCCAGTAAGTAAAGGGAGAAACTGTTCAGTTTTAATAATGATTGCATGGCGCATTTTGAGAAAATACCAACCAGGATAGGTCTATCCAACAATTTCGGATGGATAAATTTTGCAGTTAAAGGTATCATCAGGGCCTGTTGATCCTTGTCACCAAGCCAAAGTTCTGTAACTCCTAACCTAGCTAAATTATTAGCAGCTGTTGGACAAGGTAAACCCCTGAGCTCAGCAGCAACCAGTAGAATTTTAGGATTTACATTTCCATTGATGCCATCTGCAATAATGTTTCCCCGAATTGAGGGTTCTCCAGCCCTACCAATATCTTCAACAACTCCCCGGCCAAAATCAATTAACGCCTTTCCCAAACTCGTCATCAGTTCAAGGGCATCTCCTGAACTGGCTGCATTCTGGGATGGCAACCCAGGAAAATTTTGTACATTAGAAATTGATACTGAAGCATAACTGTTGCCCACCTCATTAGCTGCTCTATTCATTGTACTGGAGTTAAAAGAGTCCACTGATGTATTTTCTCCAGAGAAATTAGATGATGCTGGAAATTCAATATCAGACAAACAGTATTCGAGAACGTCCAAATATGTATCAACTGAACGAAGAACAAGAGACGTTGAAGACATCCTCAAAAGATCCCTGACCATTTTAGGTTTAATTTGTCGAACAACAACCCCCACAGCCTGGATTTCAGTCACCAGCTCCCAGGGTACAGAAAACACGGAATAATGTTCCTTCACAAAGCCACAAACTGTAGCTGGAAGCAAATTACTATTTACTCCATTTCCAGGTTGAGAAAGAAACATACCTTCTTCGGACTTGACCAAGATTCCTGAATACAGCTGCCACAGAGGAAGATCAGCAACACGAACATAGAATGGCCTTATTACTTGTTCAATGAGACATTCCCAATCTGCTTTAAGCACTTCTGTTTGTACTAAGTTATTGACATCACCAGATTCATTAATAAGTGGATGCTTGCTTGACCTTGGCCAGAAAGAATAAATTAGATCACCATATGCCTTCAAAGATACTGCAACTGAACGAGTTGCACTTGATTCGATAGTGGAACTTGAAGGTTCTCTTCTTAACCTCTGCATTTCAATCACCATTTCAACGTATGAATCACGAACACAAGCCATCAATTCTCTGTTCCAAGCTTCAATCAACTGATCTCCAGCATCAACACGTGCTTCCATTAAAGTTCCACGATTCTGATACTTAAACAGAGAACGACCACCGTTGTGACGTACAAGGAAACATCCAAAAATAGTAACAGGTAGAGTAATACTACCAGACAAAGGAAGAGGAGACATAACAGAGCTTTTCATATGCACATCAACAGGGTGACCGTTTCTTGATATGTGTGCTGCAACTCCAGCCACAGGTGTCAAGTTGTATGCAAGATATCTCCTACGTGGGGAAAAATATGGAACCAGATAAAATTCAAGGCAGACATTTCAAGAAGAAACCCCAAAGTTTTTTTTATTTTTTTTGTTTCTCAAGGCAAGCAATGCATCAACTCTTTGTTTTCACTCCAATTGAAGGATAAATTATTTCTGGAGTACATGACATGCCAATCATAGAAAAGAGCTATTCTAATATTGCAAATATCACGTCGAGTGTAATATAACTTTTGCTGTTAATCCATAGAAGCCTAAACACGGCATAACAAGTATGAACAGAATTTTCAAAACCTATTTATTGGCCCAATTTGAAAGACATGGAACTTCCATGGTTCCACTCCCCCTGGAGTCTGTATAGGCAAGGATTTGAAGGGTTGATAAAGTTGAAAAGAAGAGGAAGATTTTGTAGAACAGATGCTGTTTTGGTAAAAACGACACTGGAATAGTAGACCATTTACTGTTGTAGAATTCCAATTGGAGTACATTTTACCAAGGCTCCAATTCAATTAACAAATATAGGTATATTTCTATAGGTCAGCCTTACCTATTTTCGCAAAGTTCCATAGATTTTTTCCAGTGTTTTGAAATATATGCTTTGTAATCAATTACAAGTATCCACATACAAAACAAGTGCTATGGTACAGTAAACCAGGGTTTTCCCACTTTCCCTTGCAAGAGTTTAGACCAACTCCCCACAGCTAGATCCTTTAGAATATTTTCTACTTATTCTTGTGTCCTATTTTTGCTCGTTATCTTTTTCATTTTGGGTTTACCCACTTTTTTACATAACGTCACATCATCACAATTTCCCAATGTCTGTTCTTTTTCTGTTCTAATTTCCTACTGTCATTTTTGTTTATTCTTCTTTTTTTTCTTTTATTCCTCCTTCGTTATGTATCTGTTCTCTTCCACTTACTCTTATTTAATTGAATAAGATTACTCTCATTATTTATTAGTATTAGTAGTAGTCATAATTTGTTTTATATTATTTTATTTAATATATTTTAGAAATTTTATGCCTCACTTCAACCAAGCTAGTGCATTTTGCTCTCTAAGTTAGAAGAAGAATAATAAAGTTGGGTGCGCTTCTCACTTTTTACGACCTTGACTCAACCTGATCCTAAACTTTAAACAGGGTGGAGTCTAATAATTGTCTTAATCCTCTCAAGGATTTGGACTCTCAGAAAACTAAAATGATTGCTGATTTTCTAGATCAAAGAAGTATTCAAGTGGTCTGCTAAAATAAACCATAAGACATCTAACCAAACTCTACCAGCAAAGCTGAAAATTACAAAAATATCTCCAGACCTTAAATGAGAAGACTTGAGAAGAAGTAAAGAACTGCTAAGTCCATAAGGAATCCTCGAACTACCACAGGCACTTTCCCTGTGGCTCAAATATCACTCTTCTTCTTGAAACATTAATAGCTTTAACCCTAAGCTTGCAAATAATATGCTAATATGATAATAAGCAATGAGTGTATTGTCACATTCAAAATAGTAGCTCAGACAGAAATTTCAGCCAATTACATGGCTGTATCATGGCCACAACTTTTCAAAGTTCAATTTCTTTTATCACACAAGTCTTCTTAAGAAAACAATCAAATGATTATGAAGTCATTATCTCTAACAGTGGACAAATTTGCATTCAAAACCTGACATTTTATGGGGCCAATTTACCTCCCCTTATCTTACTCCTACCAAATTCCAAATACCGAGAAAAAGAATGATGATTTTGGACAACCAAAAGTCAATATACAAATATGTGTATGTGTGTTTGCGTACACAGAAACTAAAAAGCTTGCTTTCCCTCATTACTCAAATGTTGATATTCTCATTAAAAGGGAATTTCAGGCAGAAAAGTCCTTCATGAAATGCAGAAGTTGTTTTAAGACAAACTAACTGTGCATAAACCTCAAGTTGCAGTTTTGAAAAAGTTATTTATATAAATCAAATAAGTTCAAAAACATACCTATCAAGAGCCATATTTCTTGTTTGCCCAGAACCAAGGGTTTGCACAACAAGCCACCGGTCAACAACTCTATTAGTTGTAGCTCCTTCATACAAATCCACGTCTAACACATGCAATTTTACTGCAGCATTTGAGCTGCCAAATAACCGTGATATTTGAAACTTCCTCCACTGTTTTTCTGAAAAAGGGTTTCTCATGGTAGCACATAATGAATCAACAGAAACTGAAAAATCCTGGCATGGTTTATCACATCCCTCATCCCATGTTGAGAGTGATACCTGAAAACGTATTATTTGTCATTTACATTGTAAATTTTGAGGTTTATTAAGAACAATTACCAGAGCATGTATATTTTTAAACAAACCATAACTGAAAGGTTCAACTTCCTCAAGCATTAGGAAAACAAATTTGGTGTCCTTGACTTCTGAATAACCACAAAACATAAACTTGCAAAGACATTGATACATGCTAGGGCACAAACTACAAGAAGACAATGTTTATTAACGCAAAAATGGTATCAAAGGAACCCTCACATAAACAGTATAGTATTTCAAACTAGAAAAATAACAAAATAAATAGATACAGATTTTTCATTTAGCTACCTACCATTTGTGATCATATGTTTTCTACACCCAAAGAACATAATCAGACATGTACAAGTCATATTGGGCCAATTGAATGGAGAACTGATCAAGTCGGGTCAAAACAAGCCATTCGGACGACTTGCTCTACTGTTTTGGCTACAACCGAAGCTATAAATGGAATTTTCAAGTAAACCAGTTGGATTGAAAACTAGATATGTAGAGCTTTTCAACAGTACATTGCACATTTAAATTGGACACAAGACAGGCAAAAATCAGATGCAAACTAGACCAAAATCAGGTGAAAATTGACGAGCTGACTGCATGTCAATGCGGCTATCGCACCACACACTGCAAAAATCGCATAGTTCAAGGCGTGGTCAGCTCACCTGTTCTGCACACACAACAAATTTTTTTCTGCATTTTTCCCACTTCGGTAGTTTACAACCCCCCACTTAACTCTAACACACACTGACATACGCCGGCACAAACTAGATTGAAGGCTTTCTCTAGTTTTCTTGCCTACTCTCTATGTTCTCACTAAAAAGGTAGTTTATTTCTCCTTGATTCTGATCCGCCTAGTTGAGTCTCTTGACTTGATTTGGTTTAGTTAAATTTTCTTTTCTATAATTTGCTACAAATTGCAAGAATTAGATTGACAGTTGTCCCTACTCTTTCGCTTCTTCTCTCTATTTTTTCTCACCGAAGATTTTCGACCAAATCAACTCTCCTTGATTTCATATGGCTTGAATATTCGAATTTTTGGCACAACCATCCGGATTTAAGCAAAGTTGAATTAAGATCCATGAAATTTTGTCAAGTGCACACTCCTCTCCAAGGCTAAAGAAAACTAAGGTAAATAGCCTTATCACAAACTCTTCCACTCATATTCTTGGTAAAGTGCCAAAAACATGATAAATTAAAAGATAAAATGAATCGATGGAAGACAACTATATGGTTCTGATTCCCATTCAAAGGGACATGTAGGCATGCTTAGAATCTGACTCTAAGTAGCAAAATGAATCAAGAAAAACCATCTTCTCCTCCTCATTTTATTTTATGCTTTCTTTGGGGATGCGTGGCCTTCCTCCCATAAAGGCTAGAGTTGGCACCTCCGGGTTTTGCTTTGAATGTAATATAAATTTAATTACTAGTTTTTATTTTTTCTTATTTATTTGTTTATGTTTATTTGTTGTAATGATTATCTTATTCATCCATTTATTATTTGCATTTCATCTTATAAATTGTTCATAACAATCTTTATTTTCATAAGTATTAATTAAATTAAGCGAAACCGAATTTACTTGAACCAAAAACCTAGTTCCCACATCCTCTTTAGTTTGGAGTCCTGAATTTTTTCCATTGGCCATTAGTTGAAAGTCAATATGATTTTTTACCTTGTATTTTTCCCAAAATAAAAAAAAAGTGGTAACTCCCAAAAAAATGAATTTTCCAAATTAAAGAAATCATTTGCCAAATAACACGATAGCTGCTTCACCCATGGACTGGACAAGATGCTTTATTGAATGATTGTATAACATCTAGTACAAGAAACTTATATAAGTCAAAAGAAAAACTATAAACAAGAATATAAAGCAAAACTTGAGAGACAATGCTCTCCAGTCAAGTAAGATATCATTCGATGAGACTCTAAATATTTCATGAAATATGGAAAAGAATGATTAAAAAATAATATATGTGAATAGGCTTTGAAACCCATATTTATGAGTTTTGACGGCCAAACTGTTGGTTGTATTGTAGATAATCCAAATTCACCAAAATGATTAAAAAACATTTTTCTGCAATACATAGTTGTGAGTGTGAGTGCATATGTAAGAATGCATTTTAATATAATTGTAGGGCCAAGTAATTAAATAGTTGCATGCAAGAGAAGGTACAACTAGCTAGAACAATAAATACTACCTGCAAAACTGACTTCAAGAAAATAAGTGTCCTAGATGAACTCTCCATGAATCTTTCAAATATTTGCTTTACTCTCTTCAATCCCAACTCGAGTCCATCTTTAAGACATTCTGATGACAGAGGCATGCGGATAATAGTAGAATCAAATGAAGATGACATGTTTTCACCGGCCAGCATAGGATCAAATTGATCACAAAAACGCTCCGTCAAATTTGTACCTGAGACCACATCAGAAGGGTGACACTAAGCTCTTCAATATCCTTGTGCAAAAACCAAGAAAATTAAAAGAATGAAATTCTTAGAAAAATAAAATCCAGAAACGAAAAAACAAAGGGAATGTGATGAAGATAGGTAATAATCTGAGCCAATTAGAAGATATTAAAAGCTCAGCTTAGTGCTCAAGCTCTCAAATGAAACAAGCCAAACAGCATATCGACCAACTTCCAAGATAATAAAGATGATCAAAATATACAGGAAATCACTTCCACTCTTCTCCACACCAGGCAATTTGACCTCGGCAATATCTTCCATGTTTGTCAAACAATTTGGCATTCATTCTATAAGGCATATTTCACCCAAATGTTTTCATGCTGCAATGATATGTACAAAAATTTTAGGTTATGGCATCATCGAATTGCCATGTTCTAGGTCAGGGAATCCAGCATTTGCTGCAAGCAAAAGCTAAACCAGGCACATTTCAGTGGCTAGTTTTCACTCACAACTAACACTTTCATTTAGCCAAATGTGCATTTAGCTAGCGAACTAAAGAGGTCAACCTCAAAATTATTGGCTTGCCGATTAGGAAAGTACGTACAAGACATACTATTAGACTTTCATCAAGATCAAGCTAGCTCAAGCTCTCCTATTCTAAAGATTAAAAGATATAATACGTAGCCATCTCAGCTAAATTTTATCCACAGGCATAAGAAGAAAAAAGAGAATTAGAGAGCCAACTACGTTCTATCTTCCAGCCTCTCTAGACGACATGAATGAAAGAAGAAAGAATCCTTTGCAACTTTCTGACTCCAAAGATAAATAAAATAACAAAATAAGTAAGGATATTTAAGATGCAAGAATAAATGCAAATTAACCTATTGGACCATTCCTCTCTCTTCCTAATATTTCCATTTGAAAGGAATGGATATTGTGAAACGCTGGCTTCTAAATCAATCTTGACCACATTTAAGAGCCTAAACTTGATTGGAGTCAACATAACTGCTAAACCATAGCCAAGCTAACCAAGAATCAATGAGATGAGATTAAAAATAATCCCCCCTTTCTTTTTTCTTTGTTCATTACAGGCCTATTTGGCATGAGCTAAATAGACCCCACCATTACCGGATCAACAAAAATTTATCTACAAGTGAGTTGCTAGCTTGAATATCAATAGCAGAACAAGTTCATTTTTTGAGCCCAGGGGAGTGCTTCCAGTCTTTACCAAAATTTCTCTTTCATCATTTATATGCCTTGCAATTGATTTTTGGGCCTAACCATTAAAATAAATTAAGTTATTCTAATGTGTTAGCCTTCCAATTTAAACTCTTGTTTTTGGCCCTTTATTCTCCATTTTGGGTTCTCCAACACTACCCTCAACAACAACAATTACCATAATGGGCCTCACTTGTTTTGCACAGGCACCCAAAGGTGTCTGTCCTCCCACACACCGCGGGCTAGCCCTTTTTACCCAGGCTTCCATCTCACATGGCCACACCTTGGCCTACCTCCATGATCTTTTTTGTCCATTAGAGAATCAGCACTTTAGATTCAAATAATGAACCACAAAATAGCAAGTCACTAGTTGCACTGCCGAAGATTTTAGAACTATAAATTTTTCTTAATTAAATTCTATTACCTTAACTTCAATTTTTTTTGTTTCTTTTTGAGCAAACACTCAAGTAAGAACCTACTTATCAAATGACTCAAGGTTATTCTCGTGAAGTATCCTAAGTGGCTCTACAATGAAGCACTTCCACCAAAACTCCATTTAAAAGGGTCTGTGCAATTACAGCTTTGTCATAGATCATACAGCAACCTCTTCTTGATTTGCTATGCTTAGGCCGTCTAAATAATTGTAGATAACACATCATCACTGTCCTCACAAACAAAATCCCAACAGAAAGTGGTTAAACTCATATAACTCAAATTTCATGGAAAATATGAATTTGTAAACTAGATTTCACCACACTGGTTACTTTTTGTTATGAAATTCTATGTTAACATCATACAAAAAGGCCCTCAGTTTAATGAAAGGGAAGCTACGATAATTTCAAAAGACAACATTTTTCAATAAGCATGAACACATTAGATATCACTTTAATCAATTCAAGGAACAAAACAGCCAGATATTTTTACAGAAGCAAAAGAAATTCAAAAGAAAAAATAATGAAGACATCTGAAGAGTAACACATATTAGAAGAATAGTAAAAACACTTAAGAACCTAAATCTATGAGTAACATACCAATCAGAGAAAACACTTTGGCTGCAGGAGTATGACTTGAAGGAACACCAAGTGCCAGACCACAAGGATCGAACATATAAAAGTGGCCACCAGAAATAATTGATAAGAGATCACATACAAAGTAACAGCTAAGAAGTCCCAGACCATAATTAAGAGTATTGCCACGAAGTCTCCATGGTGGTAGAAGCTGAAGGCTGCTAACTTCCTCTCTAGTTAAGCTAACACCATCCAAAATGGCAACTAGAGCGGGCCCTTGGAATTCACCTGATTGAATCACAAGTTTGAAATCAATATTTAGAACAGTGCAGAATTTCACAAGAAGAAAGCTAGATAAAATCTCAAAGCAATCCAAAAGTAATCTTAGATATCTGATTCATTTTTGATTGATGTATCCCTAAGAAACATCCACTACAGTTAATGTCCCTGAAGTGACAAGAAGAGAAGTAACAACTACGAAATCGTAAAAACAATTCCTAAATTTATGAAATCTTAAAAACAATTCCTAACAATTTATGAAATCTGAAAAACAATTCCTGTCTCATGAAACCATTTAAAGAAATAAAAATATATATTCAGAACTCTTTACCCAAATTGGGCTGCAGCAATGACTGACGAGGATGCTCCCTCTTGTCAAGGGTTAGGTGTAACCTTTTAGCCTTGCAGCAATCTGCTAACTCAAGAAGATCAAACAACAAAAAATCATTGTTCCCATACAATTCCAGAAGATCACTTATCTTAGCAAAATCCATGCATGGCAAATCTTTATTCATATCTTCATCTACCAAAGCAAGGCAGCGGAGTGATTTAACCCCCAACCTATTGGCCAAATCATTGCTGATACTTGGATGCACAAAATCTTTCCCAACTAGTGCACTGTTCTCCATCCATGGTGCGTCATTGTAAACAAGGTCTCCAGAATGCATCAGAACTCCAGAAGAATTTGGCATTAACAATGATGTACTAGAAGCCTCCAACATTGAGTCATCTAAGCAACAGTCTGCGACAGCTTCAAGGACACAATGGACAAAACTTAACTGGTCAGTTGATAGGGAGCACCCTTTCACATTATTTTGTAATCGTTGCAGAACATGGAAATAATCCCAGATATCGAAATTAAGTTTCACACCTAATCCCAATAGCAATTCTCTAAATTCAGATAACTCGGATGGGACAACATACAAATAAGGGGTAAATTTCACTGGCGAATCAAATGCAAGTTCATTTGTGGACACAAAATCATCACCAATCCAAACCCAGGAAACACCACCTAAAGCAGACTTCAACCTCACAAAATCATCAGCACCAATAAATTCTTGCAGTCTAGAATAAAGCATTGGAATTCCCTTTTGCAGTGCCGCATCAAACTCCAGTCTAACAGAAGAATTGAGCTTTAGCTGATTGTAGGACTTGGATAGTTCAATCAATTGCATTGTCAAAACATCCACCTTTGGACAATCCATCCAACCAAGTTTATTTTGTAGGTAATTTGAGTCGCATTCACCATCTAGTATATGAATTGAACAGGATACCATCCACATCTGTGACTTAGGTCTGACAATTATTGGAGACGCTACCTTCCTAGTGGATTTTAACCATGGCAGTCCTTCTAGAGGTGGATCAATCATAATAGGACACCATTCAATACTCTTCAGTTCAGACCAAAATTCTTCTTCTGGTTTGTCATCAACCAAGTTAGTCAAGAGAGAGTGAATATCCAAAGAATCTTTAAGGTAAACCTTATCTCTCTCACGAGAGTTGGGATACAAAGCATCATCATTTGCAACACAATTTTCCTGACAAACCAAGGTACGTGGCAACTGATTGCAATTCCTTTCTTCATCCTCTCCAGAGAGCTTATGTGCTAGAGCATTCAAACAGGTAAAAAACCTCTTCCCATAATTCAACACTTCTGAGTCACCAGAATCATGCAACATTGATATGGATCTAGCACAGTCAAGACAACCAGTTAAACCCAACGTTCTTTTAAGCCCAAGGGTAACTAAAGTCTCCAAAGTTTCAGGATCTGAGAATTCTTTAGAAGGAAAAAACCCACTATGGAGCACCTTTTGTAGCTCAGGAACACGGGGATCATAAAGCCTGAAAAAGACATTATTGCAATGAACTATAATATTAGATCATTTGAAGCAGAAAGAGAAAAGCATAATCACTAGCTATACAAGTTCTATCATGTACATAGAACCCCTTTAGAGCTTAACCTTTTTTTTTTTTTTCCAATCCCAGTTTAGCTTTTCCTTTTTTTTTTTTTTTTTTTTTTTTTTTTATTTTTTTTTTTGTGTGTGCAATTGTATGATTGGAGAGGCCCAATTCTTCAGCAATTTTTTTTTTTTTTTTTTTTTTTTTTTGTGTGTGCATGATATGATTGGAGGGCCACTTCTAGCAAGTAGCAGCATGTCGCAGCAAGTGACAATGTAAGACGAATACCATCATAAAACATATGATAGAACAACAAAGTGAAAATATAACGATGGAAATCAAATATCCAAGGTCCAGTTAAAGGTTGAGAGGTAGTCCACCGTGCTTCAATATCAAGGAAGTATGCCATTTTAACCAGCAATATTGCAGAAAACATCATAAGATAAACATGATAATCAAGTAAACTTCATGTAATCCTTGATATATGATGAAAACCATAAGTTTACAGATAGATCAATTATCTGATTGATCACAATAGCAATGGTATAGTATGGTTAATTTACTTAAGTCATAGCCACACCTATCTTTCACAACACAAAAACATGCCTCAATTTCACTTGTGTGCAAAATTTCACCTTTCGCTTATCCACAGAAGAAGAAAATTCCATATGGATGATCTATGAGAAACTCACATCCCATGATAAGGTGTACTTTAGCCATTTTAAAAAACAAACAGTTAAAAAAAACAAAAAGAAAGGTGTTAGCAAAGCTACAGACTCCCATCACTTTGATACCAACTAGAAACAACTGGTCAAAAATCCCCAGAAGATTATGCTTACAGGGAAGCCAGAAAATGAATCGTCCTATAATAACTGCAAACTGAAGTTTTATTCTTAAAAGCAATGCATTCCTTTAGATCTAAATATTGCAAATAGGACACAATATCTCAGTATCCTTGCCTTTCCCTTCAACCAAAACTTCATAATCTTTTTCCCCCTCTCTCTAAATACCTCCAATTACTTTGGGCAGCCAAGTTTCCTCAAAATTGCTAATATCAATTCCAAATATCAGGAAATGGTGCAATAATGAGAAGACAGAAATCACACTATATTTTACTTTTAAAACATTATGACAACCTAAGCAGAATATCTTACATTTATAGTTAAAATCGTAAGCAAATATCTGTATTAAGGAGAGTGGAAAATTCTAAGGACAGAACTAAAAAATTTTCTTTTGTACTGAAAGCAACTCATACCTTAAGACTCCATCTCACAGTTTATTTTAAATCAAACATGCAACTAACAAGTAAACTAATCAAGTATGCACAGCACAGTACTAACAATAGGAGAAATATGAGAATGCAACCTGGGGGGAATTAAAAGAAATATATAGTAGCTTAATATATATATATATATTTACTGATGCTATGCCCCAAAACATGAGCCCCACATTTTATTAAGTAACAAGGAGAAGCTCGACTTTTCAAACAAAATTACTAATTAAGTACAGCACAGTACTAACAATAGGAAAGAAATTTTCCCCAAAAAAAAGCAATAGGAAAGAAATGTCAATGTAACCTGAGGGGAATAAAAAGAAATATATACTGGCTTTGTAGTACTGTCTATCAAGATATACAAGGTGCAATGCCCTAACAGCCTGAGTCACATCATATTTAGCAAACGTGGAGCAGCTCTTCAAATAATATTTTCCATGCAATTTTGAAATCAATAAGAGATGTGATATTCATAATAGAAATTACTCAGCAAGCCAACTGACATATACAGGAAGGACAACACCGCTAAAAAAAAATTTTTCTTTCTTTTTTTTTTTTTTGCATATTTAACCAGCCTACAATGCATTAAATAGAATCAAATACAGATACAGGAAATCGATAACATTTTCCATGTAATGTAGAATTTTGAAATCAATAAGAGATGTGATATCCATAATGGAAATTACTCAGCAAGTCAACTGGCATACAGAAAGGAAAACACTGCTAAATTTTTTTTTTTTTTTTTTTTTTTTAATGGAAATTACTCAGCAAGTCAACTGGCATACGAAAGGAAAACAACTGCTAAATTTTTTTTTTTTTTTTTTTTTTTTTTGGGCATATTTAACCAGCCTACAAGGCATTAATATAGAACCAAAATCAAGCATGAAGTGCATGAACAGGTTACTGTTACAAGAACTCAACTTAGGATAGTTAAACACTTTTCCAGTATCTATAATAACCAACCATACACCTACAAATGGAAAAAGATAAAAGGTAATAACAAGTACCATTAGATGGTTGTTGCCAGGCTTTCCATTGGCAGCCAAATGACGAAAGGCATCATGCAAAGCTGCAGATTTTAATGGAAATATCGTTTCACTCAAAGAAAGCTTCACATCATTTAGAATGGCTACAAGAGCCGTCCCTCTGTGAAAGGTATCTGGCATGCGGTTTAAGTACATAAAGTTTAATAAAATTCAACAACTGAATGGCTCTCCTGATCTCCAAGTACCTTGTCCAGAAAAATAATTCTCACTCTCTTATTGATTTCAGTGGGCGTTACAAAATCATCATCCAAGAGATCCCTCCCGAACACAATTTCGGAAATTTTTTTTTTTTTTTTTTTTTTTGGCATATTTAACCAGCCTACAAGGCATTATATAGAACCAAATCAAGAAATGGTGCATGAACAGGTTACTGTACAAGAACCAACTTAGGATATTAAACACTTCCAGTATTAACTATATAACCAACCATACCACAAATGGAAAAAGATAAAAGTATAAAACAAGTACCTAGATGGTTGTTGCCAGGTTCCATTGGCAGCCAAAACGAAAGGCATCATGCAAAGTGCAGATTTAATGGAAATATCGTTTTCACTCAAAAGCTTCACATCATTTAGAATGGCTACAAGAGCCTCCCTCTGTGAAAGGTATTCTGGCATGCGGTTAAGTACATAAAGTTTATAAAATTCAACAACTGATGGCTCTCTGATCTCCAAGTACCTTGTCAGAATAATTCTCTCTCTTTCTGATTCAGTGCGTACAAAATCATCATCCAAGAGATCCTCCCGAACACCATTCGGTTTAAGCTGTTTGGTGGGTTTGCTTAGACTAACTAGTTTCCGACTTCTGTATGACTCAAACACAGGAAGGTGTTTGATGACACCAGTACATGTGTCATCCATCTGCTCCTCAGAAAACCACTTAGATTGCAGAACAAAACTCCGCAGTTCATGCATTTCCCCATCTGATGCATTAGTAAAAAGCCCCTCAATGTTCTCTGAGTTGCCAGAAATTGCCAGAAATGCTTTTAATATGCCTGATGCTGTCGGAGACTGCACAAATTTTTCTAGCTCTGGATGCTCTATTTGCAGGTCATTCCTCAAGAATAAACATCCTACTTTCAACAACAAAGAAGACATGTTTTCACTCCATCCATCATCTGAAATCACATTAGAATTAGGAACCAACTGCAAAAGATAATTGTCTCCCACAGGTAATATTGGCCAGTTAGAAAATATTGAGAGATTATTACAACTTGACTTTAGATAGCTCCACAGAGATCTCATCCATTCTAAACTTGGTTGGCCATGATTGCCAGGAGCCCAAGTTACCTTTTTGGCAAGCTGCCACTCAACCGGAAGTAATTTCACCAAGAGCTTCTCAAGTAAATCACACGACAAAAAAGATAAATTCGATTCCTTGCTCTCAGCTATGCTGCACAGCTTTCCATAAACAACTTCTGGAATTCCATTATCCACAAGCTGATGTGGAACTGAATCCTTGAGGAGACAATACTCATCCCCCCGTGCAACATAAATTCTTTCACCAGTGCCATGTTTCTCAAACGCAGCAAATGAACCATTAGCAAGAGGTAACAATGCTAAACCACACAAACTATCAGGTTGAGTAGGAACTTTTAAATCAAGTAAACAATACTCAAGTGCAAGGATCATTGAACTCCTACACTTAAATGCACGTCTCCGCCGAATCAACAGTGTTCTTAACAACTCTGGAGTAAGAAAATTCAGTGACGAACAGGCCTCCATAAATCTCTCTACAAGTGGCTTGGAAACATCCACAAGAGGTAGACCAGCATCTGATAATGTTTCTATGAGCTCATTTGCCTTATGAAAGTTAAAATCAGGAAAAAGCGCTTGTTTGGCAGAAATCCACTGGCCCTCTCTAGCTTTTGTAAATAATACACGAACACCAGATTCAGCAATAAAAACATAAAGTTCCCGCACCATTGATGCCCAAGGCTCCAAACCAGTGGCTGTCGGCCAACATGAAAAGAACAAATCACATGGACCAATCTCCCGTGCAATTTTCTCAAGCAAGTGACCATAAGCAGGGGCAACAATAGCTTCGAGAATATACATATTCCAATCAGACCGTTTTTTTCCGCCCCCTGCCATGTCATTACCGAACCAGATGTCTCTCCTGTTGGATGACAATTCAAAATATGAATTAATATGCACTGGAAGCCCAGTAGTGATTGGCAGTGGTAAAAAGCAGAAGGCACGGCCCTCAAAGTTATTCTTTTGCTGAACAGAAGATGCAGAAAATTGAAACATCTCAGAAGTACCGGAGCCCTCTTTGTTCAAGATATCACCCAATTCCCCATCCCTCTTGACAGAGTGTATATATGCTGCAACACATGCCCATGGAATCGATTTATGAGATTTGTCAACCACAGAACTGCTCTTAGCTTGCCCACCACCTAAACACTCACTGCTTATCCAACAGTGTGACAAAACACTAGATGGCTTTTGCTCAGTCACTACAATCTTCTTACATTTATACGGTAAATCCCTACCAACGGATTTGCTCAGCTTTTTGAGCAACCGATCTTTACCAAGTCCATTACTCTGACCTCCATTAATAAGAGTGAACAAATCATCCAATGCACTGGACTCCATTTCTGGCTCAATGATACAATTTCTGTGTACACGATGCAGTAGTTGCATGTCATAACCATTACCTTCCTTCACAAAAATAGAAATAGTTTTCACATTGCGGAGAAAAAGCAAAGCATCAGAAACGACCCCAGAAAAGGATGCAAGGAGAGACATGACATCATCAGGTGCATAACCTTCCTTCTTTATCTGGCTACGAAGGGCAATAGCAGCACTTCTAAGAGGAAAACGAAAGAGGGTACCAGGAAAGGGATGTTGCAAATCACAGCCGAAGTGTAAAAATGGAGAGAACTGATCCGGAAATTGTTCCAAAATCTTTCTGCCCACGAACTTAATTCTTAAGCCAGGATGGGAAGGAGAGATCCCAGGTAAATTATTGGCATGAGGATCAAACATCACAATGTTTTCCCCAGAAACAAATGTGGGTATGTCCGTCAAATGATAAACACAATTAAATCCAAGCCCGAATCTTCCAATTGCAAAAGGCTTTTCCAGTTTGCTTTCTTGACCAATGCGTGATATTGCATAAAGATCTTGAGGACTGAAAACCGAGTCATTGAAACAATATAATGCAGGACCTTGCCAGTCTGCCATTTCAGGGGAGAGAACAGATGATGTTCCATATTGAGTTTTATCCAAAAGAAATATCACTTCTGAAGCCCCAGCATCCTCAGCATTTTGTACCAGCTCAAAAAGAATCCCAGGACCATCTGCATACATCTCAAGTATATGTTTAAGTCTCGTTGTCAATGCTTCATGCTGTCCAAAGGCTTCAGCAGCCCCTGACAAACCAAAATTCATTGAATCAGCACTCTCTGCAAGTAAGATCCTACGAAGTGAGCAGACACCAAGCTTATCTGCAACCTCATTAGAGATATTGCCATGAACAAATTTCTGAACTGTTCTTTTTGCATTTAAGGCCATAGCAGATGCACCAAATGAGTAATTATTATCATCTGACCCAAGCAACCAGGGAGCATCATTATAAACTAAATCACTGGCAAGGAAGAGCCTTCCTGAAACATCTGGTAAATATATCTTGACTTCTTGCTCATGAAACTGAACCTCAGCCAGATGCTGAACTATCATTATGGCTGCCCTTATTTCTTGTATATCTAGAGGACAGGAACCTTTCCTCACAGCCATTCTAACCAGAATATTAGCATAATCAATGGGCTTAAAATATTCTCGGACACCAAGCTCCAAAAATAAGTCTTTGAAAACAGCTAAATCAACAGGTACAACACGAATATAAGGAGCCAAATGAAGAGGACCATCAAGAACGACCTCATCTATAGTAGCAAATCCATCTCCCACCCAAATCCAACGAGACCCTTCAAGAACAGCCTTCACAATGTCCATTTCATCGGATCCAATCAAGCTCGTCATTATTGAGTAGACCTTTGGCATTGCCAAGGCTAATTCCTGGCGGAGCACCTGATCATTCACAATCTCATTGTTTTTTCCAAGCTCAAGTAATTGAGCAGCAAGTGCACTTCCTCCAGGTGGAGACAACCATCCAAGTTTATATGATAATGCAGTTGAAGAACATTCACCATCCAGTATTCTCATGCTAGCTGAAACAAGCCACATGTCTCTTTGTAGTCTAACAAGCTTAGGTGGAGCAATTGTTGATGACACAGCAGGCCATGGCAAAGTCTGAAATGGAGCAGAAACCATTACAGGGCACCAGCAAATCATCAGCAGATCATTCCAGAACTTTTCAAGGTCAGATGTCAAGTTGCGAGGTCTAAATGCAGTTGCAGCTCGTGAAAAGATTCTGTTAACAGTTCCTTGGTCATCATTTAGGTGGTCGGGTAACCACTTCATGGCATTCACTTCTAAGTAAGAAAGAAGCACTTTAGCTCTGCAATGTGCCTTTTGTTGATCCTCATGCATTAGTCGCTCTACTTGTCTAGCACTTTCTATAACTGTCTCAGGAGAAACAGACTTTCTGAGGCCCAAACTATCTAGCATGTCAAGCATGTCAGGTTCTTGGAAAACACCAGAAGGGAAACTATCAGACTCAGATAATAAAGCACATAACTCTTCATTACGTGGATCATAGAGGACTGCAGGACACTTGACAGCACCACTAAATGTAGGGACAAATTCCAAGTTCTTTAAATATTCCCTGAAAGTTGCATCCTCTATGCACAATTGTGGCAAGTTTTGCAAAACAGAAAGCATAATACTATCTCGAACCTCAGGCTGTAATTCTCTAACATTATCAAACACCTGCTGCCTGTAGAAGCGTGCCATCCCCATTCTCTCAATTCCATAAAATCTCATCAAAATCTCTTCTTCACTATTTGAGGAGGTCATAATAAACTCAGAACCCAGAAACTTCTCAGGGACATTTAATGGCGGTAGGTACTTCTGAGGATTTTCTAGATCAGAGAAATGAACGCCTTGAACAGACCCTCCACCATAAACTTTAAAAATAGGCAGCATCTTGCAATTCCTTATGATAGAACCATCAATGTTGTCTCCCAAGTACCATTTTGGATCAAGAAGAAATCTCCGAAGCTCATCCATTTCTTCAGCTCCCAAATTATGAAAAAATGTCTGGATTATGCCACCATTTGAAGAGAGAGCATCAAAAATTGATTCCAAGACGCCAGCACAATTACCTTCCCACACATAAAGAGGCAAATCTGGATGTTCAACTCCATAAGCTGTGTTAAGTATCTTGCATCCAATCTTCACAAGGATATCACGAATTGGAACAGTAAGTTTATCAACAGTGATCAGTTTTGACTGTCTAGAAGGCCTGTACAGATACCCAGATGTAGATGGCAAGATGGGCCAATCACCAAACAGGGACAATTTTTTGCATCGACTTCGAATATATTGCCAGAACAGCTTAAACCATGACGAAGTTGGGTGATTACTACAAGATTCTGGGTCCCACAGAACCCTACTTTTATATCTCCATTCACCAGGTACAAATCTAGGAAATAAGTTAAGAAAATATGTAACACTGAAAACTGTAAGATTTGCATTCGACAACTCTGCAACAGCAGAAAGTCTCCTAAGTATGTGAACAGGAATATCATGATCAATAATTTTATCATGAATTTGTTCAAGCAACATGTACTCTAACTCATTGCAAATGAAATAAGAGGTCCCCTTGGAAGCCTCAGAGAATACTCCAAAATCACCATTTGCTAAAGGAATCAGTGCCAGTTTGCTAGCTTGAATACCAACATCCTCATCAATTAAGTCCTCAAGACAATATTCCAATAATACAAGTTTGTATGATTTGCTTAATGTCACAAGGGAGGTTTTGCATTCCCTGAGAAATTGACGTACTGTATCAGGAGTAACCACTTTCTGCTCAAAACCAGAAGCATATTTCAAAAGCATATCAAACAAGAAAACAGGCAAATGGACAATAGGCATTCCCAATCTCAGCAGGGATTCACCAAGTTCCTTGCTTTTCGTGAACTCCTCATCATGAAGGAAGGCTTCAATTGGTGTTACCCATTTTCCACCTTCAAATTCCGAATGCAACACAGGTGCATCACCAATTTTTCTGTACATGTGCTCAACTAATATGTTCCATGGTTCTTCAAAGGAACCAGTAGGCCATAAAGAGTAGTATGAATCTATTGATCTTAGCAACCCTTGCACACCCAACAGAAAATGTTTAAAGGTAGGAGCTACAACATCTTCTAAAAGAAGTCTATTCCAGACAGAGCGAATTTTTCCACTTCTGTCCATGTCTTCTCCATACCAAATTCCACGACGATTTGAAGAAACCTCAAAGTAACCATTAACATGAACATTAAGTCCAGTTCTTACAGGCAGTGGAAGAAAACAAAATGCCCGACCACGCTTCAGATCGTCATTCTGTGCATAATCATATTATAACAAGGTGAGCCTGCAAAGTTCTAAAGAAAAGGAGTAGAACAGGTATTGAAGCATTCAAAAACGCAACACCTTGTGGATTTTCCTAAAAGCATCTCAATCTCAACATACGGACATGCAAGAACACGACTATCAATTTGGATACCAATAAACTTATCTGCAAAAGTTAAAAGATAGCTTACATGAGCATCAATTCAAGAACCTAAATTACGGTGGACATCAGGATAACATGCCCAGAAAGACAGTCACTTTGAAATGCTGACATTCATAGATTGGCATGTTAAAGGAAATAGACGTTCCAAGTTGATAATCATACACCTGGAATAAAGTAAATCTGCACAATAATGCACTTATTTCTAAATCACAGAATTAGAATAGCAAAAATTATGCCAACTCCTCAAAACCAATCATTAGCAGCATTTTCAAGTTTATATATATGTACATAATATTTGTTCAACAGAGGACACTTTTAGAGAAATTCCAAGGGCTTTTCACATAGATTTGAAGCCTAATCTAGGTGTAATGCCTAAGGGACCTCAAATGTAGCATCTATAATATTCTTTCTGATATTAAAAGAATGTTGAATCTTGTTTAATATTTACAACAAGGGAAAAAAAAAAACTATTGCAGAAAGATTTATTCCTAAAAACCCCCCAGATATATCTAGCCACAGACCAAATAATCAAAAAGTTGATGATGGCTTGATCACATCAATGAGTACCTTCAAGCCTGGATAAGTGTTTCTTCAAATACAAATAGAAATTTATTATCTCCTTACCATTAAGTAGCGTCATTCTCTTTTTCCCATTCATTATAACGAAGAAGAATTTGATAATGAAAAGAGACCAAATTATAAGTCTGAAGTTGCCATTCTCTGGCTGCTGCAAGCTTTAAAGCAAATAATTCTATATGATCCAGACACTTAATGCCACAAAACAAAACAGACCATAAATCATGATTAGCCCTCCCAACTTTATAATGTCTTGAAAATAACTATTCTCCTTGAGCTCTAGCGCACCAAAAAATGACTTGTAGGCAGGTCCATGCATTGCCTCGTAGCTATCCGAAATTACTAAGGCTTGGCACTTATGACAACACATATCTCATGTAAAAGAAAATACCTATCCCTATTCTACTTTACCCCCATTTTGAGCAAATACCAGTCCAGAGTTGCAATCTAGAGCAATAAGTAAAAAGAAAGTCAGGCTTACAAAGGTTGCTTCCCTCTAAAAAAGAGTCACAATCTAGAACAAATTGGTCAAAGACACTTCCTTATCGTCAAGAGGAAGCCTTTCCTAGGTGCACCAATCTGATCATTTCATCTAAATAATCCTTTAAGCCTCCAACATCAACAAGCTACCACATAAAAACTGCCAGATTACACAATTACAAGCAACTGAGAGACTCAATTTGAGGCACACCATTAACAGAGAAAAGGAGATCCTATAGTTTGAGCCTCAATTAAGTTTAACAATATGCTAACATTATCAACCTTCTTTTTCGCCAAAATCCTCTAAGCCCGTAAAAGAGAAGGAAGACGGAGATAAGAAAAATGGTCATTTCTAGTGAAAAAATAGCAATCTAGCTATTAATATGATCAATTTCTATTAAAAAACCAAACCCATGTTGATTCTACTAAGCAGAATTAGCAGACCAATACACTACAGGCCAGGCAGTAGCATATTCTATAATGTCAGAATACCAAATAACTTAATCACACAAATCCTTCCACCTTTGTTCATGCTACGTTGGATAGCAATAAAAATGCTGAAAAAATTATGTCTTTGAAGAAATATAACAGACAGTCTTGGTCCACTCTATCCCCTATTATGTTGTTCATCCAATGAACAAAAAATTATTAAATATTTGCACTTCTCATGTTTAGAACATGAAAAATATGTCAGAAACAAATAAATAACCAATAATTTACTTTGAGTTGATGCATGAGATTCTCCAAAATGCTATTTTGCTGGAATCAAAAATGAAAAAGAGTAACTTATTTCAACAGAAGGAGTTGTTAAACAAAGGAAGGCATACAAACATATATAGAACCTTCAAATTTCATACCAATAAAAACACTTAGAAGATCTCATTGAATTTTACCACTTCATTAACAAAGCCTTAAATCATTTACATGGAATTAACTAGATGGATTCTTCCACCATACCAGGCTTCATTGTTTTAAAGAGCAATATTCTCCAATAAATACTTTATTCTGGTTTGTTGGTCCAATAAGTCATGTAAGTAATCCTCTCTTTCCCCTATCGACTAGGCTCTCTCATTCATGCACTTGCAGACAATAAACAGATAAAGTATTGCGTCCTAAAATTAACAAGGTTCAGACCACTTGCTAAGATCATTAGACCAAACATCTCCGCTAAAAAATAAAATAAAATAAAGAAGAAAGAAAAAAGAGGAAAGCCAAAAAAAATTCATACTTACATTGGATAAATCATCTGATATACATGCTGCAACAGAAGCCCAAGGTAAAAGCTGGACATCATATTCTTTAGAAGCAGTTGCAGCAAAAGAAACAATTCTACTATTTGCAGATGCCATTGTTTGCACAACATAAAACCTATCAGTCCTCTTCTTAACTTCGTTGCCAACAAATTTCTCACTCAAGAAGTCAACCCAATAGCCATCCATTTCATTCTTCTCCTCCAACCCAGTGGAACCCCTTTTTGACATCCTCAAAAGGGCCTGACGATGCCAAATAACATCATCATTTAGTGTACAAACACGGGTGGCATAGAGCTTCTTCGGCTCAGTTTCTCCCTTCTCCCACACATACATCTCGATAGAAAGCACATTTTTGAGAAACAGTAGAGAAAGAACCCCTTCTTCGAAAAGCTGAACAAACATTGACAATACGTCCTCGTCCAAGTACGCTTGTCTCGATAGCTTGCTGGTCGCTGCTTGATGTGTATTCCTTAGAGGGAAACGGAAGAGAGTTCCCGCGAAGGAAGCTTTCATGTCACAACCGAATGCAATGTACGGAGAGAATTGGTCCTTGTAAAGTGCGATCGCTGAAGAGGAAACAAAATCGATTCTCTTTCCAGGATTTGATGTTGAAACATTTGGCAGGTAAATTCCCTGAGGATCGAATAACACAGCGTACTTGCCGCTCACAAACGAAGGCAAATCTGTCAAATGGTAAACCGAATTGAAACCGACACCGAACCGGCCAGTCTTCCACGCCTGGCCGTGCTTTGCACTGCCACCGATTCTTGAAATACTAACGAAATCCTCCTCAGTAAAAACCGCGTCGTTATGGGCCAAGAGCGCTGGCCCCTGCCACTGGGACAAGGAGTTGGATAAGAGAGAATCGGAGCCATGTACGCGGCAGTCGAGGCAGAGGCGAACCTTAGAGGCACCGGCGTCATCGGCATTTTGTATGAGCTCTTTAAGTACCGTAGTACCCTCCGGGTAGTTCAAGAGAACCTCCCGGATCCGCCGGGTGAGGTCAACCTTTTGACCAAAGTCTTCTAGAATGATGGATTCCGGTGCCGGAGACGGTAACTCCATTGCTGTTCAAAGTTGAAAGTTACCGATGTGTCACCAGCGTAGTCATGAGAATTGGTTCAGGAACATTAGCACGGAGAAATACAATACATATAATATAAAACTAGATTTTTTTTAACGCGGTTGCACTTTAGTACTCGTACAAGTAATCTTTCACTCCTTTTAAATCCTCTATTTAAGTTTTTGGACGATCATGATTTAATTATTCATTTTATTAAGAGTTTAACACAAATAATATGTTTTTCTCAAAATTATGAAGATATATTATTTTTATTGATTAAATAGATTACAAAATTTTATTTTATTATCATAATTAAATCTTGAATACATATATTAGGAATTAAATATATATCCTAATATATAAAATGAATGCATTAAAATATAATGTTTAATAATATAATGAATTTCTAGATAAAAATTTAATTTCTTTTAAAAAAAATACATAAAAATTTAATTGAGAGATTAAGAGTAAAATAATTAATATCTCTAAAAACAAAGAAAATGATAAAGCAAAGAGTTTTTATTAATTGAACTCTATTAATGAAACGACCCGAAAATTTAATTTCGTAGAATTTTCATTTAAAAATAAAATTTTTATTTGAACCAATAAGATTACACCAGCTAGTATTTTATTATTGCTAAACTGGACCCGTAAACCAATTCGATTTTTTCGAAAACCAAGCGAAAAACTCGAAGATTACAATTTTATTTTATTATCATAATTAAATCTTGAAATACAATATATAAAGGAATTAAATATATATCTAATATATAAAATGAATGCATTAAAATATAATGTTTTAATATATAATGATTTCTAGATAAAAATTTAATTAATTCTTTTAAAAAAAATACCACATAAAATTTAATATGAAGAGATTAAGAGTAAAATAAATTAAATATCTCTAAAAAACAAAGAAAATGATAAAGCAAAGAGTTTTTTATTAATTGAACTCCTATTAATGAAACGACCCGAATTTAAAATTTCGTAATTTCATTTAAAAATCAAATTTTTATTTGAACCAAATAAGATTACACAGCTAGAGAGTATTTTTAATTATTGCTAAAACTGGGACCCGTAAACAAATTTTCGATTATTTTCGAAAACAAGCGAAAAAACTCGAAAACCAAGCTAATTGAGGCCAAAATCAATTGAATTAGATCAAACCGGTTCGAATCGAACCGAATGGTCTAGAAGGCCCAAGAATTTTCTTTACTTTTCTTTTTTTTCTTTTATTTTTTTTTTTCTTTTTCTTTTTTTCTTTTTTTTTTTTCTTTTTTTCTTTCCCCTTCTCCTTCCTTGCGCCAGTGCCAACGCGCGACCCCTCCTCCTCCTTCCCTCCCCATTTCAGCCACCGGAGCCGATCAAGTTAGCCTCCTCGCCACAGCGGATTCCGACACCCCTTCTCTCCTTTCTTTCGTTTCTGGCATACGCAGAAGGCGCAGGAGAGCCGCGACATCCTTCGATCGGAAAGTCGTGTCAAGCCTCCTGCTCCTCGATTTTCCGACGACACCAGTCTCTCTCTATCGACGACGAAGCTTGGGTCTCCCTTTTTGCTCCCTCCTTTCCCGTTCCGGCTGACACAGCAAGCTACGAAGCTGCGATCATGGTTTGCGATCTGTTCAGTCGCTCCATCTGTTTTCCTTTTTGAATTTCCGACGAGTAGAGTAAGTTATTTTCAACCCTTTCAATATATTTCATGAATTTTGATCCTGAATAGGAGAATTGATATAGAAATAGAACTTCTTAGTTACTGTTATGAAGATTAACTAAGAAATTTTGATGATTAACTAAGAAATTTTGATAAATAAAAATATAAATGGAAGCTATAAATTGAATTTACATACAAAATAGTTAGATTATTGAATCTATTATGAGTTTTTGTAAGGAAATGATTATTCGTTATTGTAGGTATTATTGGTCGTTGGTTGAATTCTTGGTATGTTATGATAGAAACCTTGATTGTACCATTTAAGTGGAACTATAAAATGAAATGGCGAAAGAATTGAGAAACCTGAAATTGCAGCATGCCTTTTTAATTAATTAGCTTGAACAATTATTGCGGTATAATGCAAAAGTTATAAATTAAGTTCTTGGTGGGAAATGGGTTAAGTAGCATATGATGTATGAGTTTAAGCAATAACTCAAGGTTTCTTTGATATAATGGCAGCAGCTATTTTCAATCATTTATATAGATTATTGCTTGATATGGCATATTTGAAGGAGTAGATTTAATTCTTGTTAAAAATTAGTCGGTTAGTCTTTAGTTTACTTGAAGCATTTATTTTTAGTGGCTAATTTAAAAATTGATGAAGGTATAAATATGTGTTTGTTACCTTAAAGTAAGGATGAAGAAATGAAGGTTGATAAAGAGTTCTATAATATTTAAAGGCAAGTGTTCCCTATAATATTTAAAGGCTAGGTAGCTATTTAAAACGGGGATAGTTGAAATTTAACTTATCCGATTGCAAGTTCCCCATTTAAAAATAAAGTTTAACAATTTAATTTTGATAAATTAGTTAGAGGACAATTAACAATATCATTGGAAATGTTGGAGGATTTATTAATAATTTGTAGAATTTTATTTGTGAACGTTGAAAACATCGCTTGTACTACGAAAGGAGGATGGGACTTAAATTGTTTTATTGCCTGACGGATGGGCTTGTGTAAATCCCTTCCCGGTATATACCAGACCCGTTAACCCCGAATGAACCGAAGTCCGATGAACCGAGTCGAGACGCTACAATCTGGTTGAACTTATGTCATGTCATGCTGATATCATCCTGTATGCTAAATATGAATACAAAACACTCTCAATTAAACTCTAAACTTCCAACATCTCCAAATAATCATCCTAACACAATAACACTTGATATATCTTTTCATAATTGTATAAATCCTCAATAGCATTTAATATCCAGCAATTAATTTCATTCATGATCTATATCGAGTCTTCATGACCTATTCATACCAACTATAGTAAAATATTTCATCTTCAATCATTTCATAAGTATTATTCTTATCTCCTCTTATCTCCAACTACTTACACCAAAATAATTACATGCTTCACTTATATTTACAAATTCACATTAAGCTCTTAACAAATGCTAATAATTATACATGCATAAAATCTTAATAACTGCCATAATTCTTGGATTATACAACTTCTCAATCTACTATGGACCAAATTAATCACTTCTGCTTTGATAGTACTCTTCAGTCTTCAAGTTAAGGCAACCACGATCTTCAACCTACGGCATGATAAAAATCGACGTGCTGAGTAATAAAAAACTCATGGTGCTTCATAATTTCACAGCTGAGTATAAAACTCAGTGGTGCTCATAATTCACATACTTAACAAAGTGTGATGGCAACTAACTTCAAATACAAATTGCATAAAAGCATTGAAAATCATAGATTCAGTACATTTAAACATCAATTTATCTTTATAGCAAATAATAAACTTCTAATGCATAACATAAATAATTTAGTTCAAATTATCTCATAACTCCTTTCCATAAACCTTTAATCACACCTATCATGATACTATCATGATCTTACCTGCTGTTCATTATGTTGTATAAATGAAAAAAATAAACATGTAAGAATACATAACAATATATTTTCATTGTTTTACTTGCTATTCATTATGTTGTATAACTTATGCACTTTTAGTCACATCATATAAGTTATGATTAATAACATCTCATACCTGTATGGCTCCTTAAGAATGAAATAAATCAACTTGTAAGCATATATAGCATTATACTTTCATGATCTTACCTGATGTTATTTATGCTGTATGAATTCTGCAACTTTTATTCAAACTCAAGAAACATATAAGCACATACATATTGTAACATCCTACTGAATCGAATCGTTGCATAAAGTCGAGTCGAGTTGGGCCGAACAAGAACCCGGTTCGAGCCATTTAAATCCAGAGTGGGGTAGAAGTGGACTTACTTGAATGAAACAAAAAGATCAAAGTATAAGGAGTAGGACTTACTTGCACTAAAATCAGCATACAACATGATATTAGCATGAAAGGACATAGGTTATAGTATTAGCATGAAAGGACATAGGTTCAACCAGATTGTAGCGTCTCAGCTCGGTTCATTTGAGTTAACGGGTGGACCGGGAAAGGATGTTACACATATGTAGCAATAAACATGTACTCACATATGGAATGTAAGCACACATATCATGATACTTTCATTATCCATACTTGCTGCTCATTATACTGTATGATTATGCAATTTGTAGTCCACATAACTGTATAGCTCCATAAGGTTATAGTGAAACCGAAGTGATAAGAAAAACTGTATGAAACTGGATGAAACTGGATGAAACTGTATGCTTGGCTGGATATATAATCATATCCACTCAACGGCCTGTAGCCGGAGTACCAAACTGTATGGGGCGCAGCAGACACTTTCATCTGCTATCCTATGCGCCGACACACCTTATCTACATGGTTTCTACCACCTCAATGGAGCATTTTAAGTATGTCAATAGATAAACAAAAGCATAGTAACTGTGTCATAATTATGCATGCTTGTGTCATGTTATTTTCACATTGCTTATGTCATAATTTTTGGAAATGGCTTGTGTCATTGAAATTAACTGTTTCATATTTCACAAAACCTTTACTGTCTTACCTGTATGCTGATAGCCTTTGCCAAGCGGGTCGAAACTTGTTGTCATTTTAGTTTTACATCATTTGGGCATGCTTGCATTTTTGTGTTATACATTTGTTCATGTTGTCTTTTTTTTAACATGATTGAATGCATACCCAAGTTGAGAAAAGGAATACAGTTGCATAGAATTCATAACTTCATACCACCATAGTGTTTACCTCAATTTCAACCATCATACATGCTTGATAGTTGATATAATATAATATAATATCCTCATGTTGTCTTTTGTTTTTAAAAAGATTGAGGGCATAACAAGTGAGCAAAGAATTCCAATGCATTGAAAAATGAAGGTCCAAAAAAGAGCATACAGAACACAATTCGCGAGCGCGCCATTGCCAAAGTACCTGCGAGCTGTTTGAGAAGCACATATAAGGTTCAGTGAGT